AAATGATATCTCTGTAGGTGCTGACGCTGTTGGCGGTTCTAGTGTTAACAGAAATTTAAATTAAATATGTGTAATGGCAAATGCCATATATGATTTTCTTACCTGGAATTCTGCCTTTTTGAACAGACTTTTTGAGCCCTAACTATATTGTCTGCAGTTCTAGGGTTAATATTAATCTAATATGATTGTCATCGGTCTAAATTAGATTTCAAATGAACGTATGTAATGAAGATCATAGTGTGGGTTAAATCCATTTTCTGTCTCTTCTGTTTACTGTCTACAGATATGAAGAGTACATTCAAACCAAAATGCCTGGTGATCCTAGCCAGCCTCCGATCTCCCAATTCATCGAATCAAGGACTGTGCCGCTATACAACTGCAACCACCCCCAGCAGAAAGCCATAACAAACTCAATATTGTCAGACCTCATTATAAATTGCAACATGCCATTGTCCATCATTGGACATCAAAGCTTTCATCACTTTTTGTCACTAGTGGACAACAGGTACTCTCCAGTGAGTCGAAGAACAATTACATCAAAGCTTGACGGTCTGGTGGCAGATAGGCAAATTAAGCTGTAAATGAATTAGAAAAGGCAGATAATGTGTCAGTGACTGTAGACATATGGTCAGACCGTAGGATGAGAGGCTTTCTTGGAGTCACAGCACACGGGATCGACCTTAACAATGACAATCTTCAGATGAGATCCCAGTTGCTTGTGTGCAACCGCTTCAAAGGTTCCCATACAGGGCAAAGAATTTGTGAAGAGTTTGAGCAAATATGTGAACAGTACCAGATCAAGAAAAAAGTTGACCACATCATCCGTGACAACGCTGCTAATATGAAAAAAGCTTTAACTACATGTTTTCCAGGACAGGGAGATGAAGAAGATGACCTTGATGATTCTGACATATGGAATGACCTGACAGTGGAAGAGCAAGAGAGGGTTGAACATTCTTTGAGCGCAAAAACCCAGACAAGACTTCAATGTTTTGCACACACTCTTCAACTGGTTATAGGAGATGGCCTTAAAGAGACACAATTAATCAATGCAGCTCTCGCCAAAGCTTCCAGGTTGAGCTCTTTGCTCCATACAAGCACCACCTTCAAGGAGACATTTGAGAAGGAGTTTGGGCAGCGTGGAATCCCTGCCTCTGTTACCACACGCTGGAATTCTACAATGAGGCAACTGAAATCAGTGCTCAACTGTGACCACCTGAGACTGTCTACAGTTCTTGAAGATGGGGGACACAAAGAGACAGTATTCACAGCTAGAGAGTGGAATCAGATTGGGGAACTAGTGGATGTTCTTCAGCCTTTTGGGGAAGCCACAGACCTCACACAAGGAGAAAAAAGTGTGACCATAAGTGCTGTGGTACCCTCTATCCTTTCTCTTAATCACCACCTGGAAAATCAAAAAGAGAAAGTGCGCTACTTGGGTGGCTTGATCCGTGGGCTGCAAGGATCACTCCAAAGAAGATTCAGAGGGATCTTTGTCAATGTGAGGATGGCAGATGAAGAGAGTGATGGTGCAACCTTACCCTTCTCTGACCCTATATTCCTAAAAGCTGCTCTGCTGGATCCCTCATTTGGCACCATGTGGTTGACCCATGATGTCACTGAAAACATCAAGGAGGCTGTGTCTATGATGATAAAAAGTATGTTATATTTTTCGTGGTAATCTAACTTAATATCACACCATAGATGAGATGAGTTATAAAATAAATTGACAGATTGCCAGGACATAGTTTCTTATGATAACCCACGTATGTGTTATGATTGTTGGTATGCAGTATTCAACCCCTGAATCCATTTTGTGACTACCTTTTTTTGCTTGTGTTTATCAGACTGGATTCTCAAAGAGGTGACCAAGACCACCAAGACCACCCCGACCACCGATGAGCAGGACCAAATGACAATGGCAGAGCCAGACAGCCAGCCTGGGCTGTTCTCAGCATACCGCAAAAAACAGAAGAAAGACTCAAGTTCCAGTCTCCAAATTCAGCTGAACCACTATTTGGACATTTGTGATGGACAAAGCTGCCTTCAGGTTTGGGCCATGAACAGGCACACCCTCCCCTCTTTGTTCAAGGTGGCGGTTAAAGTTATGGCAGTCCCTGCATCAAGTGCACCTGTTGAACGTGTGTTCAGCCATGGCGGGGTGATAATGCGACCCCATCGCTCACAATTGAGTGACAAAGTGCTAACCGATTTAATGTTTTGCAAATGCAATGCAGCATTGTAATTGGCTATTCACCTTGTGTTTCTAGGCAGCAACATCGTTACCAGCTTGCTGCTTGTGAAATTCCACCTGGTTTGGTTCAGGAATATTCACACTAGCTAGTATGTTTGCCACAAAGTCAAAGAGACATCCATGTTCCATAAACGTCAGGCATGCTTGAAAACCGTTATACTTGAATAGTTTGAATACGTTTCCATGGCTTGATGTAATGTTTAGTTATGTAAGTATTTAGTGGCATACTACAATAATAATACTTGAATAGTTTGAATAACCTTTCATGGTTTTGATTACAAGTAGTTCCAGCTGATAAACTGCGATGTTAACAACCTCATGATGACCTCATATGTTTTAACTTAGGATCAATCCTGTGTTTAGTCTAGAAAAAGGTTTAAAACTAAAAGAGCTTTGAAACACAATGAAAGATGTTTGGAGTTTTATTTGAGTTATTCATTTACATTTTTAGTCCAAGAGATGCTGATTTGAAACCGTTGTTATACAGTAACGGCACTTCCTGTTTCTGCCGGAGAGAGTGGAGGCCGTCCCAAAGCCTGCTGCTGTGTTTACTCCCTCCATCTGAGTGAAATAAGACCCCACGGTTTGGTGATTGATAGGTGTGTGGGCTGTCTTTCATTTTGACACACAGAACAATGGGGGCTATCCACCCTTATCCACCATGTAAAGTCATTCACAGCCTCTTCCCTCTCCCCTCTGTGAGGAGAGAAGGTTCAGCTTTCAGAACAAAGTAACACAAAACTAAAATGGCATTCATTTTTTTAAATGTGTAGTTATATATGTATTTATTTTTCTTCTCAAGAGAGTACCAGAATGTGTATTTTATGTTAGTATTTAAAAAAAATCTCCTGGGGGGATTCAAAGGGGTTGGGTTTTCAGCATGTCAACTCTTTCACCTGTGGGGAAATTGCAGGATTGGCTCCAGGTCGCCCTTTTTATTTACTACAACACAAATGTGCCTTTTTATTTGATACAGTTCAATTTCGATTGAGACAGGGAAATAATCTAAACCTCACGCGTGGCGTTTCATTGTCAAGGGGAGCGATATAGCGTGTATGTAATTACATTGCAAATACTGACTTGAGCCCCACCACTGCATGGGTTAGCCCTACCATAGATTACCCAACACAAATACTCTGGCGCCGCCACTGTTTGAGGGTGAGTTTGATGAAGGCCGTTTCCTCCCAGTGGGCCAGGTAAATATCTGCATATGCTGCAGCATACTTGCGGCTCATAGCACAACCGCACAGCTGGAGGTACTGGTATACTGTTGAAAACAAAATCATTCCGGGTGAGGTGGAGGTGGAGTAACTGGAGGATGTGACTGTCGGGTCTGGCTGGGTTTGGGTATTTATTGAAGGTGTGTTGAAGGGCAGAGAGGCCAAGTGGAGTTTCTATATTGGTGTATAAGGAGTCTATATCTAAAGAAGAAAGAAGGGTGTGACTGGGAATGGGGAGGTTTTTTATTTTATTAACAAGATGATAGGTGTCCTGGATGTAGCTGGGGTGGACTTTGGAGAGGGGATTTATGAAGTGATCTATGTATTCTGTGATGTTGTAGGTTTCAGCAGTCAATGACGATGGGGCGGCCGACCGGAACCACAGAGGGGACCGTCCACGTCTCCACAGGCTTGTGGATCTTGGGGAGCAGGTAGAAGAGGCGGGGCCTGGGCTCCTCCGGACCATCCAGATATTGTTTTAGTTTTTTGTTGATGGATTTGTTTCTGTATAGTGTTTCTGTAATGTTCCTAACTAGTGTTTGTGTTATTAATTGTAGTGAGTGTGTCAGTGGTCTGTAAGTATGTTATGTAATTGTCTATGTGCTTCTAATCTGTAATTGTCCCTGTCCTGTATGACTATTTGTCCCCCCTTGTCTTCTGGTTCAATGACTATGTGTTGGCTGTTACCTAATGTTTTACTAATATTTCTATGTCCTGAGACACTTCACCCCAAATTGCTCCTGTGGGGATTGCCCACAGTATTGAATCATTTAATGTCAGACCTTTATGTATCCAGATTGTCCCTTGAGGTCATAGATCTCTTTTTCAAGACCTGCAGGGATACCTGGAGTATAGTCGCTTTGGATAAAAGCGTCTAACAAGTGACATGTAATGCAATAACCGTAACCATCTCCAGGCCTATACACACTTTGAATGCACTTTAAAAATTCAATATTTTTAACTATTTATTTCCACCGTATGATTGTTTATGTTGTCTGTCCTACTGCCATGTTTTTAATGTTACGTATGTCTAGTTGTTGCACACTGGGACAGAGTCTGAATCTCGTTGTACTTTTTGTATAATGACAATAAAAAACTTTAAATTAACTTTTAACTTATTTATTATTTGTATTCATTATTATTATTGTTGTTTTTATTACTTTTATGGATACACAATTCTAGTCAATTGTCTTACTATTTTTATAATGATCTTCTTTGTTATTTATTATTATTTACTTTAGTCCTCCCTCCAACACAGTAGGTGGCGCTAATGCACCTTTAATGTTATTTAGCAGTCTGCAAAGTATTCCCTTTTTAATACTTTAAAAAAATGTATAATAATAATGTATATTTATTATTATTGTTATTATTATTGTTGGATAATTCTGGGCCTATTTCCATATTTTTCTATAATTTTCCTCCTTTTTTAATTCTTATTATTATATTAATCGCAGTCCTCCCTCCAGCACAGGAGGTGGCAGTAATAGCCCTTCAATGTTAGTGAGCTCTCTGCCATTGAACCAAAGCAGAAGTCCGGTATGTTATTCCGGAAAACGCTCGTGAGCAGAAACACAATTTGTATTCTCGTTTTGTTTTTGTTGCTTCGCAGATTGGAGCCTCCAGAGCGGTTTACTCTCCGGGAGTTTATTACATGTGACGAGATCACGCGATCAGGAAGCAAAGAAGGTAACTATATTCGATGTACATGACATTAGAAAGCACAGAGATGACTACTGTAGCAGCATAACAATACATGTATAAATGCATATGGATATATTACAGGTAAACGTATTGAATGCATTTTCGTTATGGTTTATATCTACTTTAATTCTTCTAAATATATTTATCTTTGAATACAGCACACCTGATTTATTAAACAATATAATATAATGTATTGATATCCTAGTTTCTTCTTTTCTAAGGTGACATACACTTATATAACTATTGTTATTTATTGTCTCTTGTTTTTATTTGCTTTGCATTTGATATCGAGGTACTCCAAAAGTAACAGAAAGTGAGATGAAGTTACTGACAGGTATAGTTGTAGTAACGGATTACATTCCTAAAGTCTATCAGGTGCTCACAGACGCTTTACAGAAGGTAGAACATGAGATAAACCGCCACTGCTATTGTGGATCTGTATCCTTGCTGCTGAGGTTAATGTGTTTCTTTGCACCTGATACAAAGCAGGGCAGCAGAGCTCTGGTTGGATGGCGTCTCTCCGCGGCGTGGCTCTCCAAGAGCAGATCTCCATCATCCTGGGCGCTCTGACCACCGCCGCCGTGCAGGTAGGTGACCAGGGGTCCCACGTGTCCCCACAACGTCCCCCATTAGGGTGACCAGGGGTCCCACGTGTCCCCACAACGTCCCCCATTAGGGTGACCAGGGGTCCCACGTGTCCCCACAACGTCCCCCATTAGGGTGACCAGGGGGTCCCACGTGTCCCCACAACGTCCCCCATTAGGGTGACCAGGGGTCCCACGTGTCCCCACAACGTCCCCCATGAGGGTGACCAGGGGTCCCACGTGTCCCCACAACGTCCCCCATTAGGGTGACCAGGGGTCCCACCGTGTCCCCACAACGTCCCCCATTAGGGTGACCAGGGGTCCCACGTGTCCCCACAACGTCCCCCATTAGGGTGACCAGGGGTCCCACCGTGTCCCCACAACGTCCCCCATTAGAGTGACCAGGGGTCCCACCGTGTCCCCACAACGTCCCCCATTAGAGTGACCAGGGGTCCCACAACGTCCCCACAACGTCCCCCATTAGAGTGACCAGGGGTCCCACAATGTCCCCCATTAGGGTGACCAGGGGTCCCACAACGTCCCCCATTAGGGTGACCAGGGGTCCCACAACGTCCCCCATGAGGGTGACCAGGGGTCCCACAACGTCCCCCATTAGGGTGACCAGGGGTCCCACCGTGTGCCCATAATGTCCCCCATTAGCTGTGTCGGATGTCAATCAACCAACAAAGTCTATAAATGTATTTACTAATTTATAAGCTAATAGTATCAATAGAAATGTTTATTTTTAAAACGTATCTTATCGCTGCAGTAACTTATCCCACATTGTCCCACTCTTTTGTGTCCCTCTCTTTTGTGTCCCTCTTTGTCCCCCATGTCTCTTGTTGGCCCCTGGTCACCTGCAGGAGATCTGTGAGCTGGTGGCGGAGGGATACCAGGCTCTGCAGACGGAGATCCAGCGCAAACACAAGGAGAACCAGGACCTGAAGAAGAAGCTGATCCTCATCGAGTCCATCGTGGTGCGGGGGGTGAGAGCGGGGATCGAACCGGCAACTGAGGGGAGAGCGGGGATCGAACCGACAACTGAGGACGCACAGCAACCGGAGAATGACCGGGGACACACAACAGCTGCTGGAGGAGGAGGAGCGGTGCTGAGGGAGGAGGTAAACACAAAGACTGGGATCTACTTTTCCCCCGAACTATTTGGGGAAATCCCTCTGGAGCAGAGCTGTCAAACTCAATTTCGTCGCGGAGCACCTGGTGTAATTATATAAAATAATGTATTATATTACATTATTGCCTCTGCGTTGGATTATTATCGGATAGGGTAATAACTTCATAATTAACTACGTGTGAAAGCAGAAGTCTGTCTCAAAATGAGATGCATTGTGGGACATGTAGTTCATGGACAACGTGCTTCTGTTAAGTGGCCTGTAACCGTATAATAAACGTATTATATTCTTTGAAAGCTCTTGCGGGGCTGCATGAAATGAAGTCGCGTGCCGGATTTGGCCCGTAGGCCTTGAGTTTGACCCTCCTGGGATTTTAGCCTCTGCAGACCATTTACATGCACTAAAACCTATAGAAAACACTACAGGAAAGGGACAAGTACAAAAAGGAAAATAGGGCCTCTTTAAGTAAATAACAAGCATTACATCTGCAAGTAAACCATCACTGAATTGAATAATAGCAGCCTGTTTTTCCTCCACACTTTTAACTTCCGCTTTAATGATGATATGTTGGATTTTTCAAGAACAAAGCGGTCACTGCATCCTTTTAAATATCCTTACTATGCCTTAAGATCCACCTTAATGCACTGAGAGCAGCTGACAGCATGTTAATCATCTCCTTATCTGAAGCTGATCTCAAGATAAAACATTTCATTTATTTCTTCATCCCAGTCTCGTTGCCTTGGGCTGAAACTCAGGTTTTTATGATAAGATGTTTTTTGATTTTAATTCTAGATAGTGTGATAATTAAACGGAGATTTTGAGATAATGGGATAAAAAAAAAAAAGCTTCCATTAAAATGAAAATGAAATTAACCTTGAAGAAGAATCAGCCAATCAGGACTCAGGAAACATTTTATCTTGATTAGTTTTGGGTTTAATTTGATAAAGCAAATTCTTCTGCGATTCATTTGAAATGGATTGGTATTTACGTACGTTTTTTAAGGTTAGGGTTCTAAAACGTTTTATCTACTTAATTAATATTGAAATCTCTTAAAGGGGACCTATCATGCAAAATGCACTTGTTGATGTCTTTTCTACATCAACACGTGTCCCCGGTGTGTCGGGGAACTCACGCAGCGTCAGGAAATAAACCCTCTCTCTTTTCCTCCGTACCCAAAGCTCTTAAAAAAAGGGGGGGAACAACGAGCGGATACAGATTTGCGTCCGATATGACGTCAAATCGGCGGTGGACCCACGGCACTATCAGAAACAATGCCTGACGTGTTTTGGACGTGATCTCGTCTTTGTTTACATTAGCATCGCTAACACTCAGAGCTAACCTGTACTGGAGAGCACATGTGTTTAAAAAGCAGGAAATAAAAAAGGAACTCACCTTGTGATAAACCTGCAAAAGCATTTGAGCTCCATACTGTTTCAGAGATAATCCTTGATGTGGTTTAGAACAGGATGGCGTTTTATCACAGCAGAATTTAACTTTATCTCCGGAAGAATTCTGATCAGGCATTAGCTCCGCCTCCTCTTTTTTTTTAAGCTAAGGACCCAAAATCCTTGTTTCTCTAACAGCTGTAATAGAGGGGTTTGAGGCATGGCTACAACGAGGGAACTGTTTGGTATTTGAAGCAAAAAACTTCACAGACATGTTTTTTATTTATTTTTATATATCTGAGACCCATAATATATGTCTTAAAATAGCACGATAGGTGACCTTTAAATCCCTTTTTAAATCTTTCAAATTCTAATATTCCTTTATATATTTATATATTGTATTTTTGGGGGGATTTAAGGTATAATTTGTTCTGATGTTCCATTATAAAATACAAAATAAATTGGTCTTTTAATTAATGCATTTTTTACAATCATTTTCCAAATACACCTTGAATTGAGGTCACACAAATTACAGTAGGAATTTGGTATTAAATTGTATTTCTGGTGGAATTAAAGATGTTTTAAGTCTTACACACTTTAAGCTGTAACTGTGATTATATCTGCTTTCGTTTATTCTTTCCAGCTTCCCGACGTGGTGTTGATCAAAGACGAAGACTCGGACAGTAACCACAGCTCAGAGGAAGGTGAGGGGAAACCACCCAGTATTTTGTTCTTTTTTCTGTAAACTTAATTAACAAATGGTTAAAAAACGACGCCACCATATTTGAATATTTTATTTGCGTCACTTGAGACAACTCTTAAAATGACGAAACTTAAATTATTTCAAAAACAAAGCTTTGAGGTTAACAACAATCATTTTAAGTGTCGCAAACTTGATAAACTATCACGTGTGTCTCATCTCTGCAGAAAGAAGGTTTACAGACAGTTTCTGAGAAGAACAGGAAATATATTCAGTGTTTTATATATTTCTCTTACGCAGCGTCCACACGGCAGCGTGCGTTGAAGCTTGCCGGCGGGCGTGTCTGAAAATCGGCCAACAACCAATCACATGACTCTCCCGCCCCGGACACACAAGCACGCGGTTTGATTGGCTAGAGCTTATACTGGCATATGATTTGATTGGCTGACGCTTCCGCCGAAGCTTGAAAACTTTTCTCAACTTTTGAAGCGAGCAACGCGAAGCGACGGAACCACAATGCAGGTCGGCAAAGCCTGACGTCCCCCCATTCAAAGTGAATGGGAAGAAGCGTTGAAGCTTCAACGCACGCCGCCGTGTGGACGGGCCGTTACACTCATACCGAAAATGTTAAAGTGATGCCGGAAAACAATATTTCTGTTCGTCAAAAACGGTATAATTTCTCCAGAAATATGAGCATCAGAGAGGGCTTTGTTTTTACGGAGAATAATTATGGGATGGATGTCCGGTGGGTCTGACTCTGTCCTTTTTGTTCTATAGAGGAAGTAAAAAAAACGTGATTCTGGATTTATTTGTGTTTTATATATAATTTAGAATCAGTAATATTTTTGTTTATCAATTTGACACAGCTTCATTTTGTATTGTATAATAATTATCATGTTAAATGTCATTATTATCTTTTTGTATTATTGTTTTACACATTCGAAATAAATCCAATCAAATGTGTTGTTTGAGGTGACTCAGCAGCTTTAAGAAATGAAGACACTTCGCTCTAATGCATTATTTTCACCACCGGAAAGTGGGCGGGACTTAATTGTGTCCGGAAGTGACGTTAGCGCCCTCATACTTTATTCTCCCTCTCAGTGATGCGTTTTGTATTTCTTTGCAGATGATAAGACGTCTTCCTCCAGAGATCTCGTCAGCCGGAGCGTGAAGAGACTCTGGCCCGGAGGCGAGGACGCCGACAGGAAGTCCTCCTCGGAGCCGCCGAAACCAGCGAAGAAGAACTTCCCAGTGTATTTGGTGGATTCTCTGGAGGCCGGAGAGTCGCTGGGATCCTTCTCCTCTCACACGGACCCGAACAGACCCTCGTTCTTCAGCCTGACAGAGTCTCCCTCCAGCAGCCCCAGAACTACACTTCAGATGGTGAAACTCTAGTTATTTTTAAATTACATTACATCACATGTCACTTGTTAGACGCTTTTATCCAAAGCGACTTACATACTCAATACTGTGGATAATCCCCACAGGAGCAATTTTGGAGAAGTGTCTCAGGGACACAACGACATGCTGACTGCAGTGGGGTTTGAACCTGAGACCCCCTGATCCCAACACCAACGCACTACTCCACTGCGCCACACGTCCACTAGTCCACTGCTCCACTAGTCCACTGCTCCACTAGCCCACTGCGCCACAGCCTCCCTCCCTTATTTCAAAATAAAAGCTTTGAGGTTAGGTTCAGGCCCAATTCCAAACCGCCTTCTACACACTACCCCTCCGTTTGCTCATTCATCCACTGCTCCACTAGTCCACTGCTCCACTGCGCCACTAGCCCACTGCTCCACTACTCCACTGCCCCACTAGTCCACTAGTCCACTGCTCCACTAGTCCACTAGTCCACTGCTCCACTAGCCCACTGTGCCACTAGCCCACTGCTCCACTGCGCCACTAGCCCACTGCTCCACTACTCCACTGCTCCACTAGTCCACTAGTCCACTGCTCCACTAGTCCACTGCTCCACTAGCCCACTGTGCCACTAGCCCACTGCTCCACTAGCCCACTGCTCCACTAGCCCACTAGTCCACTAGTCCACTAGTCCACTGCTCCACTAGTCCACTGCGCCACTAGCCCACTGCTCCACTACTCCACTGCTCCACTAGTCCACTAGTCCACTGCTCCACTAGTCCACTAGTCCACTGCTCCACTGCACCACTAGCCCACTGCTCGACTAGTCCACTGCTCCACTAGTCCACTGCTCCACTAGTCCACTGTGCCACTAGTCCACTGCTCCACTAGTCCACTGCACCACTAGCCCACTGCGCCACTAGTCCACTGCTCCACTAGTCCACTGCGCCACTAGTCCACTGCTCCACTGCTCCACTGCACCACTGTGCCACTAGTCCACTAGCCCACTGCTCCACTAGCCCACTGCGCCACTAGTCCACTGCGCCACTAGCCCACTGCGCCACTAGCCCACTGCTCCACTAGCCCACTGCTCCACTAGTCCACTGCTCCACTAGTCCACTGCGCCACTAGCCCACTGCTCCACTAGCCCACTGCGCCACTAGCCCACTGCTCCACTAGCCCACTGCTCCACTAGTCCACTGCTCCACTAGCCCACTGCTCCACTAGCCCACTGCGCCACTAGCCCACTGCTCCACTAGCCCACTGCTCCACTAGTCCACTGCTCCACTAGCCCACTGTGCCACTAGCCCACTGCTCCACTAGCCCACTGCTCCACTAGCCCACTGCGCCACTAGCCCACTGCTCCACTAGCCCACTGCTCCACTAGTCCACTGCTCCACTAGCCCACTGTGCCACTAGCCCACTGCTCCACTAGTCCACTGCGCCACTAGCCCACTGCTCCACTAGCCCACTGTGCCACTAGCCCACTGCTCCACTAGTCCACTGCTCCACTAGCCCACTGCGCCACTAGTCCACTGCGCCACTAGCCCACTGCGCCACTAGCCCACTGCTCCACTAGCCCACTGCTCCACTAGTCCACTGCTCCACTAGCCCACTGCTCCACTAGCCCACTGCGCCACTAGCCCACTGCTCCACTAGCCCACTGCTCCACTAGTCCACTGCTCCACTAGCCCACTGCTCCACTAGCCCACTGCTCCACTAGCCCACTGTGCCACTAGCCCACTGCTCCACTAGTCCACTGCTCCACTAGCCCACTGCGCCACTAGCCCACTGCTCCACTAGCCCACTGCTCCACTAGCCCACTGCTCCACTAGCCCACTGCTCCACTAGTCCACTGCGCCACTAGCCCACTGCGCCACTAGCCCACTGCTCCACTAGTCCACTGCGCCACTAGCCCACTGCTCCACTAGTCCACTGCTCCACTAGTCCACTGCTCCACTAGTCCACTGCTCCACTAGTCCACAGCACCACAGCCTCCCTCCCTTATTTCAAAATAAAAGCTTTGAGGTTAGGTTCAGGCCCAATTCCAAACCGCCCCCTACACACTACCCCTCCGTTTGCTCGTTCACAAATAGTTCCTGCAAACATTAAGTGATAAACTTCACAACAAGAGACACATTTAATATCGTCGTACAGATGTTAACAACTTCATGCTACCTGTGTATATCTACAGGCTGTTGTAAAAACCAAGCAGCTTACAAACATCATATTTTAAAACAAAAAGTGTTTTACAAAAAGAAACACCGTTAGAGATTTTTAAAAATATATATTTTTAATCCAAGAGAAGCTGATTTGAAACCGTTGCTACGAAGATTCACGGCATTTCCTGTGTCAGCTGGAGAGAGGGGAGTTCGTCCCAAAGCCTCGTGCTGTTTTCACACCCCCATCTGGTTAGAGTGAGACTACAGACGGAGTTCACTCCATCACTGAGGGGGAGTGGGTAGGGTGTGGTTTGGAATTGGGCCCTAGTTTGTACTAAAGCCCTCTTTGTTTTAGCCTGCTGAACTCCTACCGTTACTCACTACAGCTTCTGTACTCCCGCTCTGAAAGAACAGGAAATCTTCACACCTTGTTGATGCTTTTTGTGTTTCGTGCAGACGGACTCTCCTTCCAGCCCCAGAACGCTGCCGCCCTTCCCTCAGTTTCATCAGAGCGGGAACCTGGAAGACGGCGACGCCTTCGGGCTGAAGATGGTCAGCGTCAGCGGCTCGTATTCGAACGAGAGCAGCGGCTCTGCGTTTGATTACGAGATGAGGTGGGAAGAAGTAGAGTACAAATACTTGGTTACCGTACTTAAGTACATGTTTCTGCTATCTGTACTTCTACTTGAGTAAAGGGTGTGTGTACCTCTCTGATTTTGATATGATCTTCTCCTCCAGGGACCAGTTTAGCGGCGCTGAGGGAGGGAAGCGTCTGTTTTGCCCCGTGTGTTCGAAGACTTACGCCACCTCTCAGAACCTGGAGGTGCACATGAGGATCCACACCGGTGAGAGGCCCTTCAGGTGTGCACATTGCGGGAAGAAGTTCACGCAGTCGGCGCACCTGAAGGCTCACGAGCACGTGCACAGCGGGGAGCGCCCGTACACGTGCACGCTCTGCCCGCGCAGCTTCATCGTCAAATACAGCCTGAAGCTGCACATGGACCGCTACCACGCCTCTGGAGGCGAACAAAATGTAATGTTGACATAATGTGTAAACAAGAGAATACGTTTTTACCTACAAATGTACTTAAGTACAGTAACGGAAGTATTTGTACTTCACTACTTCCCACCTCTGGTTTTCAAATGCTTCCTGTTTTCCACCACCAGGATTCAAGGCTTTTAATGGCATGTGTTCAGAGCTACAGTGTAGCTGAGGTCACAGGCTCCTCCAGCAGAGCAACACAATAACACAGATACAATAGTGCAGGTTAATACAAATAGAATATAAATAGTGCCATAAGAGTCTATAAGTGATTGGAATATGATATATTAGATAAATAATGTGTAAGTTGCAAACAGATGAATGTTATGGATGTTCTTAAAAAGGTGCAGGTGTTGAACCGCCTCATGGCCTGAGGGATGAAACTGACCCTGAGTCTGGAGGTTTTAGACCAGATGCTGCAGGTGAATGATGTGTGTGATGGAAACCTCTGAAGCAATGGAGACGAAACTCAGAGAGCTGGAACTTTGATGGCAAACACTGACGGTTTATTTGGAGCTTTGGCAAAACATGAGCTGAGCCACGAGGTGACATTACATTACATGTTAGTCGCTTTTATCCAAAGCAACTCACATACTCAATACTGCGGGCAATCCCCACAGGAGCACTTTGGGGTGAAGAGTCTCAGGGACACAACGACATGCTGACTGCAGTGGGGTTTGAACCTGTGACCCCCTGATTCAAAGTTCAGCGCACTACTGAGCCACAGCCTCCCGACTGTGACGCTGCTCTGTGTGTGTGTGTGTGTGTGTGTGTGTGTGTGTGTGTGTGTGTGTGTGTGTGTGTGTGTGTGTCCTAGCATCACTATACTTGTGGGGAACTAAATCTGTTTACACAGTCACGTGTGGGGACTCGCCTCCCTTATGGGGACAAATTGGAGGTCCCCATAAGGGGAGTCATTAATTTTAGGGTGAAGACTTGGTTAGGGTAAGGATTAGGGTTATGGATGTGTTGGTTATGGTTAAGGTTAGGATAAGTCTCCAGGAAATGCATGTAAGTAAATGTAATGTGTGTGTGTGTGTGTGTGTGTGTGTGTGTGTGTGTGTGTGTGTGTGTGTGTGTGTGTGTGTGTGTGTGTGTGTGTGTGTGTGTGTGTGTGTGTGGTGTGTGTGTGTGTGTGTGTGTGTGTGTGTGTGTGTGTGTGTGTGTGTGTGTGTGTGTGTGTGTGTGTGTGTGTGTGTGTGTGTGACCAAGGACTTTGCTGCAGAAATGGACTGTTTGAAATATATCTATTAATCAGTTAATTTAGAAAAAAAATTATACCATCTTTGGAAAAATATTGATCCGATGTTTAAATTGTTGTGAAAAACTTAATTACAGTTATTGTGTTTTTCTTTGTTTATAAAACTCTTCCTACAGTTTTGTATGTTATTACTTTTTGTATTTTGCAGATCTTTTAACACATGATATATATTTTTTAAGTTATCTTAAACCTACATGTGTTGCTCTCCTGACGACTGAAGCTTTTTTGGGAATGTTTTCTTCCAAAAGAGGATTTATTTGTACTTGTAAGAAATCACTAATTGACCTGTCACCTCTGCAAAAGGTGTTTTAAAGAATCCTGAATAAATATGATCGTGTTTTGAAATTCACATTTCACCTCTTCTGTCTTAAAGGTGATGATTGAACAGAAGTGTTTCATTTTGTGCTGCTGGCAGTGTGTTAAATAGCAATATCATTTAATAGTGTGTGGTTCTGTATTTTAGTTTTTGGATTAGCTATTATTTCATGTGAATATGATCAGGGCGTGGTGCAAAATAAATAATTGCTTTACATCCGGTATGCACTGAATGATGACTGCAAAGATACACGATGGGCAAAATAATAATAAAAGCAATATGAAAACTTACATTGCAGAGCGAAACATTAGCAGGCTAATAATAATCATTAATTATTTGTAGATGAAAGTCTATCAATAAAGGATTGACATGATTTAAATATGTGTGTTTGAGGTCACACTGGTATAATTCACAACTAAACTCTTAGATTCTAATATACAGCACATATTCTATTTATATACAGATTATTCATATTTTGTGGAAATAAAATATGCAGAGAATAATGCAAAAACTACAGAAAATAATGTAAAAATGGCAAACAATAATGAAAAACTACTATAGAAATGCTGCCAAGAAATAATGTAAACTGATACTTTGCACATGCGCACTAGCTCTCTCTAGTCCTTTGTAGCCCCGCTTCACTTCCGGGGTTGTCTCCGCGACTGTTTACATCCTCGTTGGGGGAATCTAGTCCAGATTTCCACACTTTATTCTTATTATAATAAACATTAAACCATAAAACATGTCCCCTGCCGCGTCCCTGCACGCGCAGCTCGCCTCCATCATGGAGGTCCTCGCGAACACGGCGGTGGCGGAGATCTGTGAGCTCGTGGACAGCGGGCTCGCGGTGCTACAGCTCGAGGTCTCGCGGAGCCGCAAAGAGAACGAGGCGCTGCGCAGAAAGCTGCGGCTCGTGGAGATCCGAGCGGTCCGGGTCACCGCAAGCGGAAGAACCACCGCAAGCGGCACCGCGCTGAGAACCACCGCAGCCGGCAGCAACCACTGCAGGCGGAACGACGCTGAGAACCACCGCTAGCGGCACCGCGTTGCCCCTATCTAACGGCCGCGCTGCCGCTCAGTTTGCCGCTCATCATCAGCCTGGAAACGGCGGAGGACCGGAAAAACTGGTGGTAAAAAAGTTTATTTTAACTTTAGGTCAAACATTTTACATTTTAATAAAGTGTTTTAATGGAACTTGTTGGTTATCTGTCGTCACTTTTTAATGGCGGCTAGCTTAGGGTGACCAGACGTTCCCGGTTTCTGGGGCCAGTCCCCGTTTGTATTGGCCTGTCCCCGGAAATGTCCCCGTTTTTTTAATATACGTTAAAAACATATAGCAAGGTGAAATAAAACGTTTCATGTCAGGAAACACTGGGTAAACAGACTGCGGTCGAGCCAGCCCCCACTTGTTGTATTGCGGTGCGCGAATATCCTATGCATTACGGTAGGGTAGAAGCATGTAAAAACTGCCTTCAAAATAAAAGCGTTTACTCGGTCAATAACAAATATACCTAAAAAACACACCAAACATATTCATATACTGGAGCTTAAATTAAGAAATATGTACTATATAATGTGATCAATAATAATGTAAAACAAACTACGTATAACTACCACATTATAACTGAGTGAATGTAAAATGTAAGGATACAGTTATGAAGACATATCTGATATTTTGACTAATTGACTAATTTCAATTGATGTTGACACCATCTCACAACACTCCTAAAATAACATTACTTTCTGAAGCACAATTTAAAATGTATGCTGTTTAAAATCTCAAATTAGATCTATTGTCCATCTATATTTTGATTATTATTTAATGTAAACTGTCCATAATCAAAGAGTCATTCGAAGTCAATCAAATACTTATTTCACTCCAGGGTGATAGCAGGAGACCCCATCTAGTCACTCAGAGAGAATCTGGACAATCTGATGTAGAGTTTCAAAATTAAAGACCTTTGTAGTCTCATATATGAGCTATCGTCCTTCTGTTTTTATACAAGAATAAATAAAAACATGTCAAATTATCAAAGACTTATTTCACTCCAGGGGTGATAGTAGGAGACCCCATCTAGTCACTCAGAGAGAATCAGGACAATCTGATGTAGAGTTTCATAAATAAAAGACCTTTGAAGTCTCATATATGAGCTATCGTCCTTCTACTAATAATCCTTATTATTTATTATAGCGCTTTATCAAAGACTCTCAAAGACTTTACAAATACACCATTACACATACAGATCATACATGTAATGGTCATCTACTGTGGACAATACCCACAGGAGCAAATTGCGGGTGAAGTGTTCTGCCCAAGGACACACGGCCTGACGCAGTGGGGCGGGAGCGGGTTTCAAACTGGAGTTCCCCAACGCCCCCTTGATTCTGATGATCAACGCACAGACCACTGCGCCACCCGTCTGTTGTATCCAACAGTTACAATTTTCAAATTACATTGAACCAGAATTGTCCCCCTTTTTTCTTACCAGTGAAGCGAGAAATTGGATATGTTAATGATATATTGACCGCAAAACTCAAAATGTCCCCGGTTTTAATTTTGCAAAATCACATGAACTTTTTTCATTTCTCAAAATAACAAACATTAATCTAGCGGTTAGGGTTAGCTAGACCAGTGGTTCTCAACTGGTCAGGCCTCGGGACCCACTTTTTTCCTTTGTCAATAAATCGCGACCCGACATTTTGAACCACTCAAATGCTATTCAACAAAAATCGTGCTGCTAAATATACGCTTTTCAGCATACAATATTAATTAAAGTGAAGTACAGTGCATATATCCCTCATATCCCTTCACAGAACTAAAGTGTGATGGAGTCAAAGCTGAACTGCATGACATGAAAGGCACACATGCTGGAAACCCAACCCCAGCAGGGGGGTCGAGGGGGATTCTCCCCCAGGAGATTTTTAGAAATACTAACATATAAACTACGCATTCTGGTACTCTGAGAAGAGAATAAATACATCTATTACTACCCGAAATATTAATAATATGTTATGCCATTGTTTGTGTTTCACTTTGTGCTGACAGCTTGCTGCTCCTCACAGAGAGAGAGCAAAGAGGAGTCTGTGTGAAGTACTTTGTGGGTAAGGGGAGATAGCCCCCATTGTTCTGTGACCTGTCAATCATCAGACCGGGGGTCATATTTCATTATGTGTTCATTTCTATCTGAAGTTGTACCCATGGATGTATAAAGAATAGTTCTACCGCAAAGTTATTCTCCGTGGGGACTTCCGGCTACACTCTTGATTCTGATTGGCCAGAAGACTCGAAAAAAACATCAGCAAAGATATTTTATTGAGAAGATGATCACTACGTGACAGAAGCTTTCAAAACCGTTTATGGTCTCCGGTACTTCCAGTCCAACGCCGACTGCATGCGTTAGAAAATCGGGCCTTCAAAATAAAAGTTTGACTTAAAAAAAAAAGAAAAGAGATTTCTTTTTTTTCAATTTCTTTTTTCTTCACTCACACATCTGCGACCCACTCGAAACGGGTCCTGGGTAAAAACCCACCAGTTGAGAACCACTGATTTTGAGAGTCTGGGAAAAAAAGTGCGTATTTAGTCTGAATTTTTTTTTTTTAAGTTCGTATTTAGAGAGTCTGATTTTTTTTAGAAACATTTTTTTATTTAGAGGGTCTGAAAAAAAAAAAAAAAATGGCAACAGATAACCCAAAAGTACATTTTAACTAGAAAATGCATTTCTTGCTGAAAATGTGTGCGAATGCTGTAAACCAGGGGTGTCAAACTCAATTTAATCGAAGGCCACATCAGCATTATGGCTGCACTCAAAGGGCCGCTGTAACTTTAAGACTATATAAAAAATAATATATAAATATATATTAGGGATGCACGATATTGTTTTTTTGAAACCGATACCGATACCGATAACTTCCTGCTTCTCAAGACCTATACCGATAATAACAAAAAATGTACGCCACTAATTATTTTAACGCGATTAACGCATGTGTATTTTTTTTCCTCGGCCGCCCCGTAGTTTCAGAGCGCATCGAGTTTAAAATACCATCTACAAGCTGATGCTGACAGCCCGCTCCTGCCGCCCGCTTGTGGCAGACCACACTTCCACGCTCACCGACAGGCACCGACTGGCCATCTGGAGGACCGGGAGGGTGTGTGTATGTGTGGCCCGAGCGAGCGAGAGAGAGACCTTACGTGCATTGTTGTTGTTAGCATCTGGTGCTAGCTAGCTGCGCTAACGGATATACGGAGCTGTTTAAATGAAAACAGAGGAGCGACATTTCGCCACAACTGCGCCGAGCACTTGACTTTATGCAGGAAGCCAGACAGTGGGACATTGTACGAAAAGTCAGCACACTCAGCACGGATAGCGCGCAACATGATTGCAGCGTCCAGGCAGCTCCGGTTCGAGCATATGCCTTGAGTTGCACATAGCTCCAAGCCCATACCACCGACGACATGTTTGTTTACTGTCCTGGCTTCACGGCCGCACACCATTTACGTCACAGCCAGGCATGAGTTAGGGAGCGCTGGATTTGTGAAAAACTCCCCTCTTCCTAAACCACTAATACCACAGTACTGGCAAAACGGGAGGAGCCGAGTGAAAAATAAGCGCCCCTCATCCCAATCCACACCGCAGTATTTTTTTCTTTTTTTTTACCCAAAAAATATATTGTATATTATCGGGGCTATTAATACTGGTATCGGGTTTATCGGGATGACGTCATAATTCCTAATATCGGACCGATAATTATCGGGCCGATAATTATCGTGCATCCCTAATATATATAAAATAACCTATTATATTACATTATTGCCTCTGCATTGGATTATTATCAGATAGGGTAATAACTTCATAATTAACTACGGCTTTTAGCTACAAATAAGTGTGTGAGCCCAGAGATCAAAGGTTACCATGGTGACGACGTTATCAAACACCTGTGTGAGCCCAGAGATCAAAGGTTTCCTTGGAGATGTGCAGTGAAAGGAGAGCCTTTCCATTGATCTGAATGAGAAATAAACCTCCTACATTTCTAACTATAGTTGAAAAACGGTAGCAGCTGTCGGTAGAATTTCACATTGCACAGCATTCGCACTAATTATCCGTAATGGGAGAAGTAATCTGATCCTCACAGATAATAGGTGGTTTTAAAAAAAGGGAATTTGTGAGAGTCACTTTACTGCCAAAGGATATCTATCGTTACAGTCTAAAGGTGTTCATGTATCATCAGAAGCATCTCTGACATTATCCATCATCCTAACTGATGAGCAATAAGCACCATGGTTTTTAAATATTGATAGAACATTTTTTCTTTCACCTCCTGCAGGTGAGGCGGTGCGATGTGGAGACCCCTCTGAACACGATGCTACACGGGGGACGGTGAGGACTCTTTAAAGTAGAGACACTACATACTGATATACACCTGAACATCGCAGGAGAGGACTCTTTAAAGTAGAGACACTAATACTGATATACACCTGAACATCAGCAGGAAGGACTCTTTAAAGTAGAGACACTACATACTGATATACACTGAACATCAGCAGGAGAGACTCTTTAAAGTAGAGACACTACATACTGATATACACCTGAACATCAGCAGGAGAGGACTCTTTAAAGTAGAGACACTACATACTGATATACACCTGAACATCAGCAGGAGAGGACTTTTTAAAGTAGAGACTACATACTGATATACACCTGAACATCAGCAGGAGAGGACTCTTTAAAGTAGAGACACTACATACTGATATACACCTGAACATCAGCAGGAGAGGACTCTTTAAAGTAGAGACACTACATACTGATGTACACCTGAACATCAGCAGGAGAGGACTCTTTAAAGTAGAGACACTACATACTGATATACACCTGAAACATCAGCAGGAGAGGACTCTTTAAAGTAGAGACACTACATACTGATATACACCTGAACATCAGCAGGAGAGGACTCTTTAAAGTAGAGACACTACATACTGATATACACCTGAACATCAGCAGGAGAGGACTCTTTAAAGTAGAGACACTACATACTGATATAGTGTAGTGGAGTATAAGTATGAAGCAGACCTCTCTTAAATCTCGCTCTCTTTTTGCAGCAGGCTGTAGGAGAATCCATCAAAGTGGAGGACGACGAGTTATGTTCCCAAACTGAGCCGTACCGTGAGTCCAGTTATAATAAACTCTCTTTTTATTGGACATAATATCCAAAATCTAAGACGATACCTGGTCACATATTACCATAAAGAAATTGCAATTTGAGGCTAAACTGACTGAGATTTATAGATTAGAGCATTTGACATACGTTTATTTAGTACACTGTAACATTTTGAAGCCGTTCTCACGCTAAATGAAAGTGTTATTATCATTTGAATCATAAAAAAACACTCGATAAAGTTTGTGAAAGTGTTAAATTCTGGTTATTTCTCCAGGTGTTGACAGACACACAGAGAAGGAAGCCCCGCCCCCTCCGACCAAACAGGAAGTAGCGAAGGAAGTTGTCAGCACTTCCTGCCAGAGGTCAGAGGCCAGCGGAGGGTCTGACTGCCTGATATTCGAACCACAGCTCCAACACCCCCCGCTCTACCCACAATCCTTTGGGGGAGGATCCCAGCTGCTCGTACGCCAGCAACAGCGTTTCCGCGACGTCGGATTCTAACAGTTTTCATATAGTTACTGACGAAGGAAACGGCCAGCAAGGGAAACAGTTCTTCTGCACTTTCTGTGGGAAGACTATGTCCTGCCTGAAGAACCTGAAGACTCACCTGAGGGTCCACACAGGTGAGGGGGTTGTCGTAGCAACTTAAAATCAGCTGCTGTCTAGAGAAAATGATGAGCAAATATGCAAAGAAACACAATATCGATATAAGTATTTCAAGATATTTCTTTTAATGCTTGCAAGCATGACGACTCCTCCTGAGAGCCTCTTGTGTGTGACGGACTCTTTTATAGAGAAGACAAAAGCTCAGTTACATTTCAAACAATAACATTTGAGCCAAGGTCGATCACAATAAGCAAAACTAGTTGGGTATCGCAGCTATCCTCCTTAGAGCAAACTTCTTCCTTTCCTGTATGTCATAACACCCTTTGTGACACATCTGATCACACGAACGTTTATAAGCCATTCCCAGGATACCACTTTGTTAACAGTTACATTTCATTAGGATTACACTGTGTTCAAACTTTAAAGGTCCCCTATCATACTGTTCTTCATCAGTATATCACAGGTCTCAGATATATACGAGCCTGTCTCTGATTGGCTGAAACACCAGACATATCATTGCAGCAATACCCATAATCCCCTCTGTTTCAGCCCTGTTTCCAAAGTGCTGATTCTGTAGCTTTAAATGCTAATGAGCTGCTGCTGGCCACGCCCCTCTGAGGATATTTGGTTTACAAAGAACTCAATGGTGCTCTAGGAGGAGATTCAGGTGATAGGGGGGGAGGGGGGGGGGGAGGGGTTACCTTGGTTTGTGATTGGCTAATGGTTACACAAGACAAAACCTCGTTATGACATCATAAAGAATGGCCAAAATCTGATCAGCTCATTTCAGACAGGTTTTTATAGAAATGGATCAAAAAGAGAGAGAATCTTTGTTCCTGAAACTTTTCAGAGTCTCTTTCCACAGAGGGGACACATGTTGATGAAGAAGAGACATGAAGAAGAGGGGACACATGTTGATGGAAGAAGAGACATGAAGAAGAGGGGACACATGTTGATGTAGAGACAGAGACATGAAGAAGAGGGGACACATGTTGATGTAGAAGAGACATGAAGAAGAGGGGACACATGTTGATGTAGAAGAGACATGAAGAAGAGGGGACACATGTTGATGTAGAAGAGACATGGAGAAGAGGGGACACATGTTGATGTAGAAGAGACATGAGAAGAGGGGACACATGTTGATGTAGAAGAGACATGGAGAAGAGGGGGACACATGTTGATGTAGAAGAGACATGGAGAAGAGGGGACACGTTGATGTAGAAGGACATGGAGAAGAGGGGACACATGTGATTGTAGAAAGAGACACGAAGAAGAGGGGACACATGTTGATGTAGAAGGACACGAAGAGGGGACACATGTTGATGTAGAAGAAGACAGAAGAAGAAAAGGGGACACATGTTGATGTAGAAGACACATGAAGAAGAGGGGACACATGTTGATGTAGAAGAGACATGAAGAAGAGGGGACACATGTTGATGTAGAAGAGACATGAAGAAGAGGGGACACATGTTGATGTAGAGAGACAGGAAGAAGAGGGGACACATGTTGATGTAGAAGAGACATAAAGAAGAGGGGACACATGTTGATGTAGAAGAGACATGAAGAAGAGGGGACACATGTTGATGTAGAAAGACATGAAGAAGAGGGGACACATGTTTGATGTAGAAGAGACATGAAGAAGAGGGGACACATGTTGATGTAGAAGAGACATGAAGAAGAGGGGACACATGTTGATGTAGAAGAGACATGAAGAAGAGGGGACACAGTTGATGTAGAAGAGACATGAAGAAGAGGGGACACATGTTGATGTAGAAGAGACATGAAGAGAGGGGACACATGTTGATGTAGAAGAGACATGAAGAAGAGGGGACACATGTTGATGTAGAAGAGACATGGAGAAGAGGGGACACTGTTGATGTAGAAGAGACATGGAGAAGAGGGGACACGTGTTGATGTAGAAGAGACATGAAGAAGAGGGGACACATGTTGATGTAGAAGAGACATGGAGAAGAGGGGACACATGTTTGATGTAGAAGAGACATGAAGAAGAGGGGACACGTTGATGTAGAAGAGACATGAAGAAGAGGGGACACATGTTGATGTAGAAGAGACATGGAAGAAGGGGGACACGTGTTGATGTAGAAGAGACATGAAGAAGAGGGGACACATGTTGATGTAGAAGAGACATGAAGAAGAGGGGACACATGTTGATGTAGAAGAGACATGAGAAGAGGGGAACATGTTGATGTAGAAGAGACATGAAGAAGAGGGGACACATGTTGATGTGAAGAGACACGAAGAAAGGGGACACATGTTGATGTAGAAGAGACACGAAGAGAGAGAGGGACACATGTTGATGTAGAAGAGACATGAAGAAGAGGACACATGTTGATGTAGAAGAGACATGAAGAAGAGGGGACACATGTTGATGTAGAAGAGACATGAAGAAGAGGGGACACATGTTGATGTAGAAGAGACATGAGAAGAGGGGGACATGTTGATGTAGAAGAGAGATGAAGAAGAGGGGACACATGTTGATGTAGAAGAGACACAAGAAGAGGGGACACATGTTGATGTAGAAGAGACATAAGAAGAGGGGACACATGTTGATGTAGAAGAGACATGAAGAAGAGGGGACACATGTTGATGTAGAAGAGACATGAAGAAGAGGGGACACATGTTGATGTAGAAGAGACCGAAGAAGAGGGGACACATGTTGATGTAGAAGAGACATGAAGAAGAGGGGACACATGTTGATGTAGAAGAGACATGAAGAAGAGGGGACACATGTTGATGTAGAGAGACACGAAGAAGAAGAGGGGACACATGTTGATGTAGAAGAGACACAAGAAGAGGGGACACATGTTGATGTAGAAGAGACATGAAGAAAGAGGGGACACATGATTGAAGAAGAGACATGAAGAAGAGGGGACACATGTTGATGTAGAAGAGACATGAAGAAGAGGGGACACATGTTGATGTAGAAGAGACATGAAGAGAGGGACACATGTTGATGTAGAAGAGACATGAAGAAGAGGGGACACATGTTGATGTAGAAGAGACATGAAGAAGAGGGGACACATGTTGATGTAGAAGAGACATGAGAAGAGGGGACACATGTTGATGTAGAAGAGACATGAAGAAGGGGACACATGTTGATGTAGAAGAGACATGAAGAAGAGGGACACATGTTGATGTAGAAGAGACATGAAGAAGAGGGGACACATGTTGATGTAGAAGAGACATGAAGAAGAGGGGACACATGTTGATGTAGAAGAGACATGAAGAAGAGGGGACACATGTTGATGTAGAAGAGACATGAAGAAGAGGGGACACATGTTGATGTAGAAGAGACATGAAGAAGAGGGGACACATGTTGATGTAGAAGAGACATGAAGAAGAGGGGACACATGTTGATGTAGAAGAGACATGAAGAAGAGGGGACACATGTTGATGTAGAAGAGACATGAAGAAGAGGGGACACATGTTGATGTAGAAGAGACATGAAGAAGAGGGGACACATGTTGATGTAGAAGAGACATGAAGAAGAGGGGACACATGTTGATGTAGAAGAGACATGAAGAAGAGGGGACACATGTGATGTAGAAGAGACATGAAGAAGAGGGGACACATGTTGATGTAGAAGAGACATGAAGAAGAGGGGACACATGTTGATGTAGAAGAGACATGAAGAAGAGGGGGACACATGTTGATGTAGAAGAGACATGAAGAAGAGGGGACACATGTTGATGTAGAAGAGACATGAGAAGAGGGGACACATGTTGATGTAGAAGAGACATGAAGAAGAGGGGACACATGTTGATGTAGAAGAGACATGAAGAAGAGGGGACACATGTTGATGTAGAAGAGACATGAAGAAGAGGGGACACATGTTGATGTAGAAGAGACATGAAGAGGGGACACATGTTGATGTAGAAGAGACATGAAGAAGAGGGGACACATGTTGATGTAGAAGGACATGAAGAAGAGGGGACACATGTGATGTAGAAGAGACATGAAGAAGAGGGGACACATGTTGATGTAGAAGAGACATGAAGAAGAGGGGACACATGTTGATGTAGAAGAGACATGAGAAGAGGGGACACATGTTGATGTAGAAGAGACATGAAGAAGAGGGGACACATGTTGATGTAGAAGAGACATGAGAAGAGGGGACACATGTTGATGTAGAAGAGACATGAAGAAGAGGGGACACATGTTGATGAAGAAGAGACATGAAGAAGAGGGGACACATGTTGATGTAGAAGAGACATGAAGAAGAGGGGACACATGTTGATGTAGAAGAGACATGAAGAAGAGGGGACACATGTGATGTAGAAGAGACATGAAGAAGAGGGGACACATGTTGATGTAGAAGAGACATGAAGAAGAGGGGACACATGTTGATGTAGAGAGAGACAGGAGAAGAGGGGACACATGTTGATGTAGAAGAGACATGAAGAAGAGGGGACACATGTTGATGTAGAAGAGACATGAAGAAGAGGGGACACATGTTGATGTAGAAGAGGGATGAAGAAGAGGGGACACATGTTGATGTAGAAGAGACATGAAGAAGAGGGGACACATGTTGATGTAGAAGAGACATGAGAAGAGGGGACACATGTTGATGTAGAAGAGACATGAAGAAGA